GAAACTGATGAATTACCATCACAATCACTCAAGTCTTAAATACCTTTGATAGTTCCACCCACCTCTCACTGTTTCCCTGGAATACAGGTAGGTGTACAGCTTGTCTTCATCGTACGCTACAAAGACCCCCTTGTCGTAGGGCCAGTTCTCCCACAGGACGCCCTTCACTGTAGGTGAGAAGTCAGGGATCTCCAAGATCTGGTCGTTGACCTACAGCACAGGTAAATGTTGCAATCACGATTGACATTTTACTTTGATATGATAAATTTATTGTCCCCATTCTGAAAGTTGTTTTACACTGGAGTAAGAGTAGGCCCCAATAATCACAATTATTATTACAAACAACTAAATATTACATCTGAACAATCTATTACAACAGACGTTTGTAATGAAATTCTCTTATAAACAACAACCACAGTCAATAAACAATACAAAGTAAACAATGGAAATGGCATTTGGGTAATTCCAGATATTAGTAGTCCATTTTTTCATGTCCCTGTCACATCTGACATATGATTTTGTAAGTTCAGAACACATTTTCTAATTTCTAAGAGTGATGAATTAATGCAAATTACCTGCCAAACAAATAGTAATAACTGGAAATCAATTCTGGTGATATTTCCATGTCAAATAATAGGGCTTATTCAATTCGAATAGTTCACTATTCGAATATTCGACCTTATATTTGATCAAATATCAGAATATTCAGTCATACCGACTGGCAGAGTGTTGATGAACAAACCATATACAAAATCAGTTGCAATAACATTCACAGTTGTATATTATAGTCAATATAATAGCTTCTCACATCTAGGAGTATCTTCAGCCACGAGTTAGCAAGATTTAGGAGATGAACAATACTTTTTGCCCTATTGTAAATTTCTGTTCCTTTAAAATTGTTAAATGAATTTACTTTTTGAATCATTGTAAGATTTCTGTCACTTTTCATTTGAATCTGCTTGAAACAAGCCTCCGTATGCGATTTTTCTCATTTAAAAAAAAAAGGAAATTTTCCCTTCCTTTTCATGAAATTTGCATTTGAATATTCAAATTCGAAAAATAATATTCAAATATTCGATAATCGATCAAATATTTGGTTATTTGGATATTCAGTACAGCCCTATGAAATGACAAAGGTCAGATGTAAAAGGGACACAAAAATGCCACACTTTTGGACCCCTAATTTCTGGAATCACCCATTTAGTAGGGGAATCTGCTACGAATAGTAAATAGTGAAGTCTACTGAAATCTACTCATTTGCATCTTTTGTTTCAATAAGGCCGACACATTATGTCCCTATCATCAAACTATCTGTGCTACTGACATTTTATCAAATCACCACACTGTTGAAGAAATGAATCGAATCTGGTACAAATGACTGTCTATAGCGAGCTTTGTTGCTGCAGGGAACACAAAGGTACGGTACCAGATCTGTTATAACTACAACAGATATGTACATATACATGTACACATAGGCTCCATGCTCAACAATCCACTCACCAGTTACCTGGCTGACTGCCTGATTTCAACCAACATAATTATTCCAAGTCTAAGACAATTAGTCAGGGATAGAAACAACTAGTGTGACCAGGGATAGTTTATCACCTCCCCTGATAAGAAGGTACTACAGAAATGAAGAACAGCATTTGTGCAACCAAAACAGTACAAATACTTACTAGTGACAAAGTTGCTGCTATGCAACACGGAAGCTTGTCATGCCTCTATCTTGCATAGTGTTTTTCCATTGGCCCAAAATAATCATGTGACAGGGTGACATCCAAGCAAGTCACACTCCTGTTAAACATTTCATCAGCCAGTGTAGCATGATATCGCACGCATGCACGCACGTGCCTCTACAGCGTACAGGATAATGCAGGGACTGCTAATAGCTAATGTTCAAGTATTCTTTTGTCAGCCTTAATTTCCCTCAGAAAAGCAAGTGAAAAACATCATAAAGACAGACAAATGATCAAACAAATGACCGCTGTGATGTGGGACATAACGTTTTGAACACCCTCGGGTACAAATAGAGCCCAAAGTGAAAACGTCGCATCCTACCTCACTGCAGTCAACAATTATTACATCTAACACTGAGGCCCTTGCATTCAGCTCTCTGTGTTTCCTCTCATCACCTGCCAACCCTCCAGACTTACCGGGTTGTAGACGAAGCCGTCGCTCTTGTCATCAATGAAAATCAGTCTGGTGCCGCTGGGGTCAGGGAACACCTTGCGGATCCCCACCTCGTGCCTGAATTCATTCACAAACTGCCAGTCCTCAAGGTAGAAAAACATCAGCTCCCCATTCTGCAAGGGAAATGCAGTGTCCAAATCAGAGTGGCACTTGGTTGTAACAACTGTCTCATGACTTGCAATTAACTCTGCAAATTCGCCTACATAAAGGAAAGGATCAAAATAGCTCACATCGTTAGAAGTGCTCACCAGTGCCTACAGCTTTGCAATTCTACACACCTTGTTCCTTCCCACACTGGAACTCAGTGGTCTAGACAGAGGCAGGTTGCAGTTTGAAGCATGCAATCAGGGAGCGGCCTACAAAATCTCTCCACATCAAAAGGATGAAACGCTGTTTGTACTCACTGTGGTGCCATAGACGAGGAAGTCAGAGGTGAGGGCGTGGCAAGTGATGCCTCCCTGCCCATCCTCAGGAAACAATCTTGTCTCTCTCTCCTCATTGTCGCCTGATCCTTCTGTTTCAATCTGTTGGGTAATCAATTCACACACCTTTATCAAAGCGCATTTGGAAAGGTAAAATACAAACAAGCAGCTGAAAATACTTTGCTAACAATGACTCGAAATATGATGTACACGTCAAAAACATTCGAGGGCAGTACATTTCGATTCTGGCAGAATATCTCTCAAAGACAAAAATGACAAGGAGACAGAAACAGACAAGCACACGTTGAATCAGCCCAGTGCAAATAAAACCACAGATGCTACTTCAATTTCACATTAGTAGACTCATGAAACTGATCCTGGGTTCCCTGAATTTCTTCCGCCTCATCATTTAAATGTTATTCAGAGCATTTAAACAGAATTTCCTGATCTACACCTGCAACCTCTTCATTCCAGGTCTTGATCTCACTCACCAGATGTAACTGCACACTGTTTTCAAAGTAGACAGCGGCATAGTCTGCATTGAGACACATGCTGATGATGGTACCTAAGTACTCTCTATCCTTCAACTTCTCCGGCCCTGCAAACAGATTTTTTCCCCAAAAAATCACAGTTAGGAAAACAAAGGTTTCCAAATGGAACAATTCTCTGTGCAAAATAATTTGAAGTCTGCAATACTGATTCAAGACACTTTGCCTTTGGAAAAAAGACACAATTAGGGGTAAAAACCTTAGTTGATTCTTGGCATGTATTCCTAGAAATGAGATAAGGTAACATAAGATAAGTTGAGATAAGATAAATGAACAGGAAACAAAAATTGAAGAATCAAAACAATGCAGTTAAACAAAAAACACAGGTACTAAACAAAGACGAACTGAATTTCCAAGAATCCAGTTAGCAGCAATGTTAGATTCATTTTCCCTGGCTTTTCCCAGGGATAGTTCCCACTGTCAAATAAACCAGATACATCTTCCCAGGAGACTCCAAGATGAAATAAACAGCATGAAGTCCCTTGAGAGCTTCTTGCTGACCGTTGGCACAAGATTTGCCTTCATCCTGGATGATGAGCCAGGATTTACGGCCAGCTGTTTATCCGATATTTCTAGCATCAGTCTTGCAGCATCTTTCATGCTGGGAGTGACGTCAGATGTGGAAAACCAGAGAGGAGCCACTCTGTTTTAGTCATTCATATTTCACACACCAACCCATTCCAATAGAAAAGTTACAACTGCGACCCCCTAAGAATATTTGCTTCTTAACAATGCACCTGTTGTTACCATTTTCACGAAATTTCACGATTTTCCAAAAGAGACAAAAGTCACACGAATTTTAGAGCTGTCATGAACAGAAAAAAGTATTTGTTTACAAAATAAACAAATTAAACTGATTTCTGTTAACATTAGTTTGTAGTTTTGTGTCATTTAAGATCCCTTCTTTCAGCAAGTAGCATTGGAATACTAAATACTGGAGAAATAAACATTTGAGGAAGAGAACACCTTCAAATGTGATTTTGTCAAAAACTGGTTTTTTTATTCTGTGGCGACTTTTGTCTCTTCATGAAAACAGTGACGATGTGTACAATGGTCACTCATTTGAAAGGTCAACTTTTGGAGAGGAGAGCACAAAATCAAATTACATCAGAATTTGGCATGCCACCTGTTATCAACAAAGCATTAGTGCTCACCGACACAAACATGGACATTAAAACACTAGTATGCCATTATCAATCTTAGTGACAAACATCAATATTGATGTGGGGATCAAGTCTATGGGGAAACCACGTAGACCAAACCTATTCTTCCTGCAACGGATCTTACAAGTATAAATCACTAGCCTCTATAATTGTTGGTACACGTACATGTATGTTGTGACGGATTTTGCACGATTGTGATCCTTAATGGACCAGTATGAAAGCTGGAGGAGTTACCTGGCAACCACTGAGCAGTAAGATATCTCCTCATTATGTTTGCTCTTTGTTACTGCCAAATGTGGCCACTTGTGGCAAATTTGTAGAGGTCTGTGAACGCCGCAGGTGAACTTTGTGACCAAAATGCATCATATCCAACCATTCATCAATGCCTCGGACCATGACTGTGTACACGTAGGAAGCCATGATGAAGTGCCTATGTAGCTCTACAACCTCTTTGTGTGCATTGTGCAGCTGTGATAACTTAGTGCCTTTTTAATAATTGAACTGCCCTCCCGCTTAGCTATAAATGTATTGAGAGGGTCCACTCTGATGGATGGCTGTACGTCTTCGTTTATGTGTGACTTGTGCAGAAAGATTTCTTAATAGTGAGCAAGATCTGAAAATCCCCAGTGTCATTCGAACAGTAACACAATTTCACTTTTTTCTTTATCTAAGTCATATAAACTGGCACAACAAAATTGTTAGCAAACATTTAACAACATATTTGGAAATTTGATGATAAAAAGGACCTCAAATGTTCAAGAGTGGGACAGGAAGATTAATGTTAAACAAGTATAAAATGGTTTCACAAGAAACTGGATAACGTAGCTTCAATATCACAAAGTAAACAGTAGGGCTGAGTCAATTCAAATAATTCACTATTTGAATATTCGCCCTTCAATTCGATCGAATATCCAAATATTCAGTCGTACCAACCGGCAGATATTGACAAACGAACCATACACAAAATTAGTTGCAATGACACACACAATTGTACATTATAATCACTATAATAGCTTCTCATGTCTAGAAGTATTTCCATCCACGATTTAGCAAGAATGTAGAGATGAACAATACTTCATGTCCTGTTGAAAATGTCTATTCCTTTTAAGTTATTTAATGAATAATTCATTTTTAGAATCGTTGTATTATTTCTGTTGCTTTTCATTTGAATCTGCTTGAAACTAGCCTCCATAATGCAATTTTTTTCATTTAAAACAAAAGAAAATTCTTCCTTCCTTTTCATGAATATTCAAATTCGGAAAAAATTGTTCCAGTATTTGATAATTGATCAAATATTCAGATATTCGACACAGCCCTAGTAAACAGCAAAATCTTGTCATAGAATTCAAAATGTGAAGTTGTATCTAATAAACTGTTAGTTATGAACACGAACGATTACTTGTGCCAACTTCATGCAAGAAAAATCAACCAATTTTAACCATTACTATGGAAATGCTTTTTGAGCAATTCACTCTCTGAATACTCAATTCAACCATTTTTGCCCGACTTACGTTCTTCATCTGATTCTTCCGATGGCTCGGATAACTCAGGTTCTAGGTCAAGAGTATGTACAGGGACTTGGGTTGAACTGCCTGTTGGGTTTGTCCCCGGGTTTAGGTGGGGTTAGGTGCAACTGAGTTAGGCTGGTTTGCAGATGGGGTTGAGGTTGGGATGATTAAGATTGGCATGGCAATAGGCTGGACAGAGATGAATTGTTACAAGCTGGGAGTGGGGTGGGGTTTGATCAAGTTGCAAGTACATTGGGTTGAGATTGGAATGAGTAAGATTGGAAAGGGGTGGGACAGATGGGGCTCGACAGGGCTGAGTTAGTCATAAGTTCCGAGTTGGATTGGGTTTGATTGGCTTACACTGGGTTGCGAGATTGGGTAAAGTCTGTTGGGTTCATCTCTGGGGGGGGGTTGGGATGGGAAGGGTTAAGATTCTCTGAAAATTCACCAGAAAACAGTTACATTTTGCTGAATATTTTAACTCAAAGAAGTCTTTGCTTTCCCAACATATTCTGATAAGTCTTTCATAATCATAGACAGCACAATGCAGGGCTAGTAACAAAACCCAAGCTGCAGCAGAGAGAGAAGCTGAATAAACACGAAGTCCTTTCAACCAAGACTTCATTTCCTACTGCTCACACTTGATTTAGTAACATGCCTTAATTATGTGCCATACAGGAACTTATATAATGAAGGTATGATTAAGCAAACACTGTGACTAGTCACCGGGAGTCTCTTGCTCATTTCGTCCATACACCTGCTTCACTATGAAAGGGAACTTGATAAAGTCAATCATATCATGGCGGGGCCTGGACATGGTTGGTACAAATGGATGGAAGCCTTGTACGTTTTAACTCCAAGGAAACCAAAGAATGGCTTGAATAATGTGCAGTATTATTTGATTTTCTGTCTAGTTTTTGTAGACACAGAAATGCATCAATTTCTACAACGGGTACTCTTACCTTCAATACGTAGGTTTTTGACAACACGCCTTTAATTTCCAGAGTGTTGTATTTTGGTGACATCAAAAATACCACAACATATGAATTCCGATACCTGTCCATGATACATTTTCTTAGCTTCACTCTACAGAATCTTACAGTGTAATGAAGAAGTCCTCTCTCAAAATGTCTGTAATTTCTATTCAGTTTTTGCAAATACACACACAACAGGGGTTTGCACTTCCAGTAACCATGCCAACAAAACTACCTCTTGATTGGAATAGGGGTGTTTAGTGCTTTTGCAAATTACTTCATATTATTATGCTAAGTGTACCTTTTTCTCCAAGTAGGTAGAACCAGGCCCTGTTGTTCATCCCCACTGCTAAATGGTAGGGTCCAAGAGCAACAAACGTAGGCTCAATTTCAATGTTGATGGGGATGGAGGGTTCCTGTTTGGAAGAACATTGGGCAATATTGAATTTTGTTGGTAAGAAATGCATCCAAAAGGGTAGTAAATAAAAAGGCTTTTAAATGTCAATCTGCCATTTCAAAGAACCACATGTCAGAGATTTGTGTGAAAAATGAAAGAATAGCAAAGTGGTACAGAACAGGCTGATTGAAATGGACAGATAATGTAGCGACGCGAAGATTGGAAGGAGAGTCTGGATGCTTTGTGTAGGTCACAGTGGTACAAATGCACAAAGCTAAAACTATGAAGACACTTATAGCAGGTCGTATCAGTACTTGGCATGAAAGTACACAAAAAAACGGCACTGCTGATCTCTGTATCCATTATCGTGGTGAATGACAACCGTAAAAAAATGATACATTGTTTAAATTCACGGATACAGATATTGTTTCTCGTTAGACTGTGCTTCTCCGTGAACAATTTCAATCAGTAATTGTTGGACATGAGCATCGTGAAACTGAACTTACAAGCTGAGGAAGAGTGTTGAGAGTCTGTGAAGAATTTGATTTGACAATGTCGCAAGTGGACATGGCAAAAGACGTGGTACCGGAGGAACTGATCAAGCACAGCTCAGAAAGCATGCAAAACAGATGTATAAATGGCGACAGACAAGATGGGTGATACACTTTTCAGCATTGAGCTAGGAATGCATTCGTGAACAGACTTAACCACTACACAACAGACTGGCATAGGTTTCTACAGATCTAGCATTGGAAGTTGCCCACTGAGAGTGACATGTCTGTCCGAGTTGAAAGATGGAGAAGAAACATGAACACATGTTGATAAGTAGAAAACTTGCCTTCCGGCGACCAACTCGTCGCTACAGATTATAGATTTGTGCAAAGTATGGGGAAAAAAATTAATCATAAAATACTTGTTTATAAATTCCAATAATTACATGTCAAGAGCAACCTACAAAAAACATGTGTAACACAGATTTGAAGTTAGTAATATTTGTCTCTGACAGAATGAAAACTGAAGTACAAATCTGATAAGAATGAAAAGTGACTTCAAGATCTGTGCAGTTATGATGCCTAACTAGCAGTCAGTTCTTGATGAAAAGTTATGACAATGTATTATGAAACCTCATACTGACAACAAACAAAAACAGGACTCAAAATTTGCATATGAATCAAAGCACAAAATGATGTGCAACAAAATTTCAACCATGGTATTTTTCATTGAACACAACACAACGTTTCTGTTGTGACTAGAATTTGTGACTACATGTGCAACTCATACATTCAAGCAACGCGCTACATGTGACTTAAAGAAAAAACACTTTTGTCGTAATCATTCAAAGCAGGGAGGTCAAAGTTAGGGTCAACGATGAAAACATTGCAAGTAGTTGGTTATGAGTCAGTATGAGACTGCTGAGGGTTAATACTGAAAAAATGGTCCAAAAATCACGCTTCAATTTTCACTGAGGAATTTTTTAAAGATGTGAAGGAAATAAAATCCATGCAACACACGCTGACTGTCTCACACCAGTATCAAGACCAATCCTGTGAACCTATGAACTAGTCAGTCGGCAAGAAAACCAGTGCTTTTTTTTCCTGACGCTGATCTTTGCTGATATCCATAAGTAAAACAACGGGGGAGGTGGCAGGGCAGCAATTCAGTACTAAATTGGGAATTTTCAAAGGCAAGGACCACAGATGCAACACTAAGACAACTCATCCTTGTGCTGTGCTGATGATTTTTAAAAAGGCACCGATGATGTTCTTTGTCTTAATGGAAAGTGAGTCAGGGTACCTGCTCCACTTGGTTCACCACGGTGACCTCTAGCAGGGAGGTCAGAAAGGCCAGTCTGGTGCCTTGGGAGTCACCCAGGACTGGTAGCTTGGTCAGGTAGACGTACAAGGAGCCTCGGGATGAACTGACTGCCATGAGTTGGCCGTCATCTGTCCAGCCGATCTGACCCAGACCTTTAGTCTCTTCGTCCAAGGTCACAATGGAGTACACCTCCTTCAAGTCCGACAGGTCGTGGATCTTGACACTGGAAGCAAGAAAAGAACAGACAATTACAAAGACTTTGACTTGAAAACCATTGAGGAATCTGGTTGTGGTGACATAATTTAAGTAACCCTTGCCTTAAAAGATTCCAAAAATTAATCCTAAGGTCTTGGAGGATTTGGCAACACTGATTAAGGTGGGATGTGTCACCACATTTTAACACAAAGGTGGATTTCGGAGAACACAGGACTGGACTGTCGGTCAATCAGTAAAGCCCAAAGGAAAGACCTAAAACAGGAATCTGACGCTCACAGAACCTCAGACAATCCCCATACAAATTGCCTTGGGTCTTTAAGGTAACACTTCTGCATGTAAATTGAAGTTGTTGAATCGCGGCCCCTTCGGCATGTCTGCAGGGGGTCTGATTCTAATGCAGGCTGACAAACTTTAGTGTCTTGAAGTAAATCTCAGATGTGAAGTAAACAACAAAAGTGGACAGTACCAGTTATCTCCACAGGAGGCAGCCTTGTTGAGAGCCAGTGATATAGCGATGGAGGACAGGTAGTCCTTGTGGTTGCGAGCTTGGAAGAGCTCCTGGCCAATCTCCTTGAGATGGGTGGAGATGACGATGAAGTAGCCGTTGGAGAAACCTAGCATGATGTAGCCATCACCGTACCTAAGCAGAATAATAGATGGTCAAAGAAGCTGTGCTTACGCCATAAATATGGTGAGAAGGGTTGATGTCATTAACAAGTCTAGAACTGAACAAGGACAAATGCTTATGTATTCCTTTCACTGAGGAAAATTTGAGCGCAAATCAGGCAAAGGTCTGGAAGATCTTGTGACTGTCAACATTAACCCTGCACATATTAACACACAATGAAGATGCTTGATGACTACCGTCAAGCTATGGACACATTCAGGACAGGATCATCCTGTCCTGAATGAAGACACCTGCACAACATTATTCAGGTAGAATGGAGTCCTTTCAAGAGAGTTCAGGTAATCCTCTGAGAAAGATCTGGTGAACACTCAACCACATTTCAGTACCATTTGTAGGCGACGATGGCCCCATATCTCTGTTGGAATGCTAGCTCTATAGGATTGTCAGGATCGTCAATGTTGAATAGGAACAGTGTCTTCTTGCCAACGCTGGCGCTCACCTAAAACAAACAAGATATCACATGATCCTGATGTTCCATCTGGCAAAGTGTGACAGTCAGATAGCAGAACAAGTGAAAGAGTTTCAATATCGTTTACAAGACAGTTAGGCAGCAAGTATGTTATCTCATACTAACAGTGGTTTCCCCTTGGGAAGTTCTCTCATCCGTCTTCATTTCAGAGAACTGCAAGTCACTTGGGTCCATCCTCACCACGGTCTGCACAAAAAAAGTTAACCAAAACATCACCAATAAAGTCAGTCACTGACAATTTGAGGGAAACCTCCAACACACTGAGATGAGCTGATCCCCAAACAAAGTCTGTCGATCCAACTGCTAACCTCGGTTAATTGATATGAGGTTTAAGCATCAGCAACATCCTTTCGATTGCACAATTCCGGAGGACAAGAGCCCGCACCACTGTCTGTGTTGTCACTAACGAAGGTGCAACATTGGAAGAAAAAGGACTTTGCATTGATGAGTCATGGGCAATAACTACGTGTAGTTCCAAGTGCAGGTTTAAGTACAGACTCACCTGTTTGACAGTATCCCCTTCTGCATTACTGATGGTGATGTTCTTGTCCTCGCTGCCCAGGGCCAGCAAGTTCTGAGCACTCCATGCACCGCACAGGATTTTCTTGGTGTGCTTGCCAAGTATTGGCACTTTCCTGAGGGAAATGCATCAATGTGTTGGTAATGCAGAAAGCAGTTTACTAACGGAATAAATATGTGCCCAGCCAGTCTTAAACATGCATTTAAGACTGACTTTAGGAGAATGGACGTGACTAACAATCAAGCCACAGGCGAGGGCAGTATCAGCATTCTTTCCCCTGAGCAAGGTCTTAAAAGTTAGTTTAAGACCGGCCAAGCACATAATTCCCATTCATAAATACCTTTTTCTTCAGAGAGTCAAAAGAAGTCAACATACGATGGATTTTCAATGATTTTGTTCAAAAACGTTACTTTCATTTTCCCGGACACCCTTGTCCATTTTATGGTACATTCCTTTTGAAAGTTGTCCAACAGAATCCCCTTCAATGAACTTGGTGCGCGCATGGCACGTTGCGTGCACACAGACTCCTGACCAAACAGGCTCAATTAAACTGTCTTGTATCCATGAGCCAGCACATGATTTACGCAGCTAGCATTATCACTTCTCAGCAGGCATTTTCAAATGTTAATACACGGTCACATGACACGTTTCGACCAACAGGAATAGAAAAACTGTCCCAGGTATTTATGAATACTCATTTTCACATGTCTATCACCAAAAGTCTTGTGTTAAAGATGCAGACACAATCTTTGCCAAGCAAAATCTAGCTGAAAACCAATCACAAACCAAACAACCGCACGGCAGCTTGGCAGCCAACCTGTTTTTGCTATGCAAGTATTAATTTAGGCGCTCAGCCATTTTTTTTTTTTTTTTTTTGCTAAGCAACTCTGAGGGGGACAAGCCAA